AAAAAAAAAATCTGTAGCCTAATATGAGCATGATTTTAATATCCTCTTTCAGCTTCTTGCCTTCAAGGCTGCCTGATAAATTTCAAGATGTCACTGTTGGTGTTTATGCTATATTTTAGGATTTAATTTTTGGCCTGTTTTGTTTTTAAACTTTGTTTCTCTTTCCACACCCCTTTTTCTGTCCTTTCCCCTATTAGTAAACAGTTCAGGGCTGGCTATGTCTGTTTTGAGCTGGCTGCCTATAGGTTTAAATTCTGAGAGTATCTGTCTGCGTGCGTGACCGAAGAACCTACCATTGGTAGAGCTGGGGGGTTCCACTCGCTCAGGCATCCACCTCTAGTTACCAGAGTGGAGGTGCACGAACAGTGGGGTGCCAGTGAACAGATACCAAAAATCAAAACAAAGCAAAACTGTCAATGTATATCGTCCACCTTTGCTCCGAGGTTCCTGTGGGCATTATTCCTTGGCGGTCTGTTTGTTTGGTCTTGGTCTTGCTGTTTGGTCTCACCCAAGTTGTTGGCTCCTGGCCACTGAGCCCTGCAGATTCTGAAGTACGAGATTTCTTACTTTCGATACAAGTTCCACTATCTATAAGCCTTCAAACTTTAAAAATATTCCTAGATATGTGGTTCAGAGTTTTGGAACTCTGTCCTGAACCCACTGATGGAGAACTTCACTACACCTCTACCCTATCCGCCATCAAGTCCCACCTCCCCCAGAACTCCTTTTAAATAAGCGATCTCCGTTGTTTTAGGGAAAGAAGTGGGGAAAATAAACTTAAAACTATATAGTCAACCTTGGGAATAAAATGTATTCAACACCATCTTAAAATTCAATATTCCCTAAAATGCTTGTCATCAATTAAGCACTATCATATAGAGAGAAATAGTTTTAATAGAGATACCTTCTGTTTTTTGCTGATTCTTAGTGGTCCTGCTATAAAATTTATACATGTTGGATAAACAAATCTTGGTAAATGAGATCTATATCTGTATTATCTGAAGTTGATCAATTCCTTAAGCAATTAATATTAATAAGTACATTTATTGGAGTGTTTTAAAACATTTTAATTTTAAACTGTTAATTTTTCTATTTAATCTATATTAAAGTGTTCCTTGTTGTTGTTTGTTGTTAAGTGCCGTTGAGTCGGTTCCGAC